TTCTTTTGAAAAAAATATGTTATAAAAAAACAATAACTTTCAATTTCATGCACGTGGAAGTTAATTACGAAAATCATGCATCATACTGCTTTGTCTCTCTTTCATTCTTCAATTCGCATTTAAAGATGAAAAACACGACTTCTTATACATCATCTCCTAATGCGAAATGAAAAGCTCAGTGGGAAACCATAAAGAATAATACATACACGAGATAAAGAAATATAATAAGAAACAGCAAGAAAATTGAGCAAATATCGAAACATCATGACATGACCATAAAAGCACAAAAAATCTGTAACCTCCCTCATGTGACTGACTTTTGTATCCAGTAAGTTTTATATGGTTTAGTAGTCAGTATATGTGTATATATGTGCGATGATGCAATATTTTCATATTTCTATATGTATATAGAATTTTCGTTTGCTCTTTCTGGTACAAAATATGAAGCAGTTTATGGTCGTAATAAAACAACCGAGGATTCAATATTAAAAAATTAAATTTCCCTTTTTTGACAGAAATGAAGGAAAAAAAAACGTTATTGGAATGTGCCTTATGTTTTCCTACTCACACCATATAAAGCTCATTTCATTTTACTCTCATGATGCCATCGCTTGGTGGATTATCGTAGAACCGCAGAAGGAAAAAAAACCCGTTCTATAGATAAAAGAAAAAAATTTCCTCTCTATCAAAAAAATGCTACCATGCACTATAAAGAGAATCATAAATTTTATGCTATGCTTTTTTGGTGAATGAAAATACGTACAGCATATTGAAAATGAAACGTAAAAGCATTTTTTGTTCTCATCAAATGGATAGTCATAAAAAGAATTTGGGACTTTTTTTTTCTTTCAAAGGAACTTAATGCCTTTGGAGATGATTTTTCAATTTTGATTTTCATTTGCCTTTTGTGAGACTATTATTGGGCATTTTGTTGTAGATGAAATTTTATCGGTAAGACATCTGGTGTAAAATATTATGGTCACTAAAAAATTAAAAGGTCTGGTAAAAGGAGCTTGCTTACCAAAAATCATAATGAACATAAGGTTTAGTTTTTGCAGAGCTAGAAATATTTATTTTTAGTAGCTACTAGGCTAAGTATGTGAAGCATTAGGGAGATTTATCAAAATAAAATTAATCACACAAAATGCTTAAAGCTGTGCTGTAGTTCATTGTTTGGAATCATAAACTGACTATTTGAGATATTAATAAACCTATTAAATATAGACTTATGGAATGAATCTGCAAATTTAAAACTTTGGTGTTTAGTAAGTCAAGAATAGCTCGATAAGGTTTAATGAAGAAGAGCAATAAATTGATCATTTAATATGTATTGAAACTGACTGGATATGCATTTCACAATCAGTTTTAAAACTAGAAACGACGTCGCAGAATCTAAAATTTGTACGGTTCATAAAAATGGTTCAAAAAAAATTCACCTCTGTTTATAAATCTCAAAAAAATGGTCTCTCAAAACCCATTTATTAAAGTTTTACCTTCATTTTATAACTCTTCAAAATCTGCAATTAATACCAACTCATAAATGAAATATTTCAACACCACAAAAAGTTTATAATAACTTGACCACTCGATGTGCTTAAAAAAATAATCCAAATCTCATAAAAGCCTCACTCAGTTAGCAACGAGGTAAATATACATGCGAGTTGCATAAAGTTCAGGCGTAGGAAATTAAAAAAATGATTTTTTTTTTTGCCGAAAAGCATCAATCAAATTTTTTACTCTATACTGCTTTTGGACATTTATTGAATGCTTTATTTTTCAAAAGTTTTTCATTACATTTTCATCAGTTTAACAGAATTCCAGCTGTAAATATCCATAATAGCAATTTTTTATTTAGTAAAAATGTAATTGAAAATGTATTGAGTCGTGTTTTTTGTAAATTGATTCTGACAAAAACATTCCAACAATACAATAAAAGTACATTTTTCATCGTCGAAAAAAAAAACTGAGAGAACTAAAAAATTTAGTGAAGAAGAGAAGAAAAAAATGTTGCAAAACATGATGCTCCACAAATGGTTCACATTTCTGATATATTTCTTTTCCTTTTACTCCGTTTCTTATATTCATCGTCTCAATAGATGAAAAGCATTAGTCGAGTTTTCAATAAATTACATTTTCAAGAGCCATTACTCGGTAATGTTAACTCTGACTAAGGGAGAGAAATAAGAAATTTTATATTTTATTACAATCTTATTCTCCTTTCTGATGAAATTTTTCATTACACACTTCACTTAATAGATTTTTTTTTTTTCAGAATCAATTTTCGTTCAAATATAATCGTTGCTTGAATGGCAGGCAAAATGCGCTCTCTTAATGCAATTCATATTTACATTTAGGAATATACACGCGCAGCAAAGAGATTGATAGAAATTTATATATTTTTTTAACTCTCTTTCACTCGCTCGATTTCGCATCTTCTTGTTGAATATTATCGAGATAGTCTTGAGATTACTTGAAACTATTCAAACATACATAAGGATTATACAACCAAACTACGTTGATCTTTCGAGATGTATTCGTACTTGAAAAATTTCTTTGCTTCTTCCATGCTCGATTAAGTTGCTGTATATTTTGATTTTTTTTTTAAATTGAATGGAATTCTCCTATTTTTCTGGCAGAAATTGCTTGATATTGTTGAGAAATTTAGCAACATTAAATTCTAAATGTAGAATAAATAGCTTGCAGAAATTCACATTGGAGAAGCAATAACGAAATAAGATGAAAATCAATATGAAAGTGGACACAGATTTCAGCGCATTTCTAGAGCATTTTCAAATTTATTTTAACTAAGCCTTTTGAGCTTAAAATTGCATTAAAAGGTTGAATAACTTTGCATGACAAATGAGGGGACATAATAGCCAAATAAATTCCAAAATAAAAACATTTTATGCTGAAATGTTCAGCAAATGTGATAAAAAGAAAATTTCAACATCATTATAAAGATCAAAATGTCTTTGAAGAAATAAATTACGGAGAAATGAGAAAGAATTTTTGCAGTTTTGAGGGTTATTTCCCTCACTTTTCATGGAATGTAATGAACATTTTGTGTAATGAGACAAGAAAAATTTCACCATAAATTTTTCTAAAATTAGACAGAAATCAACGGCAAATTGCAGTGAAGAAAATGATTTTAACTTATTATTTAAGTAATTTTAAAAGCTTGGATCCAATTTTTTGTAAAAGGGTTTTAAAGTCAGATCATTTTTGTCAGGCGCGTAGGGAGGGTCATGTCCCCCCCTAAAACGTTTTGAACTGCAAGGGAGGGGGACAAGACCTTCCTGGCTACGCGTCTGATTTTGGTGCTATCTGGTATCAACATGGAACTTTAATTTTAGCAAATATGCACTTCTGAATCAGCTTTTCAAACATGGTTTTAGTTTCCTTCCATTAAAATATGATTCAAACTGGCTAACATGCTCAACGTTAATTAAAAAATGATTTTTGCATTTCAAATTACTCATTTAATATCCAAAAATGTCCATAATTTCCTACATTAAAACTTGAGTATTCAAGATGTATGCAAGTCTCATTTAAATTTCTCTCGAACACATAAAAATATACCTCAATTTCGTACCTGTATAATTTTAATTTTTAAAAAATTTGATGCATGCTAAGGTCAACATGAACAACTTTCAATATTTAGCCATACTTTTTCTTTATGAACATCAAACATAAACTATATGCTTTATGTAACATTTTCCATATTTTCAAGTATTTAATTCCAGTAGACAAGAAAGAAATATTTATTTCAGAATATGATTTATTAAGCTAGCAGGAATTGAATTTTATATTTATAAAAAAAAAGATTAGTTCCCTAGTAACAAATAAACTTCCTTATATCTTATGGTTCATTCTTATGACCTTGACAATAAAATCTCACGTGTTGTCCAAACTTTTTCATCTTCCATAAATTCGTGACCAATCGTTAGTCTTGAATTTAAAATTAAAATCGATTTGCATAATTTTGTCAATTTATGGATGTCGCAAATTTTACCTCACCGCTATCTTATCATTTTTTATATGGCTAGATTTTGTGAATCAAGTTTTGAAAATCGAAATGAATATTTTGTTACCGGCTAGATTTTTCAAATCAGGCATGTCTAACCTTTCACTTATTGTGTCCTTGTTTTATAACAATTTTGAATTATGTATATTAAGTACAAATTGCATGGATGGTACCGTGGTGTTGTTTTATAACAAGACGGTTAAATAAAGTCACAGATCAATAAAAGAAATTTTAAATAATAAATCGTGGCATGCAATTTAGACAGACCTGCACAAAAAAGCAATAAAGTAAAAATTAGCATCTTCGATTCAAATCAATTTAAATGCAAATGTGTTGCTAAATTTGGATGACATTTGTCGCACAAACATTGACACTGAAAAATAAGAAGCATATAAAATTGAGTCAGGTTCAAGCTCAAATTACCGTTAATATTCAAATTAATGTCTTGTGATCAAATTTATTGATTTAATTTTTCCTTAATAGAAACTGATGAAACAGGAACTTCTCCAATGCATAATATAAACTGTCTATTAATTATGTCTATTACATAGGTAATTCGATTAAAGACTATGAAAACATTACCTTACAATTTTAATATTCAGGAGGAATTTATCAAACTTGAAATGACTAATGAAGCTTGTATCTTGTTGTCCGAAATCAAAAGTTTACCTAAAGCAATTTCTAATGAAATTGGTAAACCAAACAACAATTCAAAAATAAAACTTATGAAATAATGATATTCAAATTGGTACTCAATGAATTCATATTTACTCATATCATATACTTGTGTGATTTAAGTTGTCTTAAATGTAGATGTCATTTCTCTCGAATTTCACATTAGACAGATAGGTTTGAAATAATGCATGAGCGAGGTGAATGATGAAGATTCACTCAAATTTGTTTGTGACATAATAATGTTGTTACAAAATAAAGCTTTAAGATGATCATATAATAAATTATGCATTTAATGCGCACTGTCGATAAATAAGTTAATTACTTTTGGAATTCGGTTTCGTAAACAAAATTTATTATTTTTTCACTAATTAATGCATAACACGACGCTTAATTTTTGGAGTATTTTTTAAATTTTAATAATTTCACATTAATTTGTATATTGCACATAAAGTGCAGTCAACAGTCTTCATAAATCATTTCTTTACTCTTTCTTTTCTTCTTGTGGTGGGTTCTTGAGGTTAAGATCGATGGCAGCAGAAACATCTGGATGGATATCATCACCTAATGGCTTGAATCCGATTCCGGCACCAGCAATGTATGTGACTGTGTGTGTTTTGCCCTCTGGGTCGACATATGAGTATGATCCTTCAACAATGTTGGTTCCATCACCTTCTTCAGTAGCTTGGATCTTGTTTGATGTTCTGTAGTTATATTTATATCCAGCATCATCATTTGCTTTGTATTCATTTTCTTCTACATGAGCCTCAATGTCTTCAATTGGTGTTTCAGCGTAAACTGAGGCGATGAGAACAGCGAATGCTAAGAAACACTGCAAGTATGTCAAATTATTAATTTTTAAAATCCATTTTTTTTTCAAAAAATCACATTTTTTTTTGCACAACACAAAAATCCAAAAGTATGTACTTACGATAACTTTCATTTTTAATATTTTTTATTGTACAGTCACAACAGAGAGAAAAATTTGATGTTTATTAGTTAAGAGACGTCTTCAATCTAAATCAATGCGACGATATCCAAAATGCTTTTATATACGGTAACAATCATAAAGCTGTATATTACGCAATTGAATGTTGGTGATGATGATGATGATGTCGCTTGATGAAGCAAGAAAAAATATGAAATCTAAGAGATCGCGAGAGTAAAAAAAAGAGAGAGACTTTTGAACATTTAAAGGTGTTGCGCTTAAGGTCAATCAATCCAATGGTGTTCACACAATTTAATGAGTAGCTCTTGAATTAATGAAATGTCACCCAAAAATATCAGACAATCTTATTAGAAGAAAAAGAAGAACAACACACATTATGTCTTTTTAAGGCGAATTATAAAGATTAATGAAGAATTTGCTAGCCGGTTTATTTATTAATGTGACATTAACTTCAAAACTTTTTGGTTGTTATAAACTTACAATAAGCTTCAATTGAGCAACATTCTATTGAAATATAATTCATTTTTAAACACCCATGAAATTTTGTTCGTTTGCGCAACCAAAAAAATGAATTAAGAAGAATTTGACAATTTTGGTGATTCACGGTATTAAGCTTCAATGATTTATCGAATGTTTGTAAGTTCCTTTTTTCGATATAATTTATTACTACTTCTTATTCAATTAATGTAAGTGACTACATTCGCATTCTTCGCAAATACTGGGCTAGGCTCTTTACAAAATGTTTGCAATTGTATGATTTTGAATTAAAAATATACAATGGATAGTTTGTAATGTGAACAGGAATGTAGCTAGGAGAGCTTCAAAATCTGATAATCATATTCGGTCCAAACTTTAATTATTAAGACAAACTTTGAAAACTTTTGTTAACATAATTTTATAATACCTAGTCAGTAGCAGTTATTAATTAATTCAAAAGAAATTCTATCTATATCTGTATATATGCACATAATGTGTAACGTGACTTATTGCAAAAAAGTTCCAAACTGTTCTGGATTTTTGAGTTTTTAAAAAATTTACAAAACTTTGGATCCATGATTAAAACTTTTTGTTTTCAGTTTTTATTCTTTTTCACATTTTTAAAACTTAATTAAGCTGGTTTATAATTTCAAAACACTTTAATTAATCTACTAGAACTTCTTTGACCCTAATCATGTAGATGTAAAGATTGATGATATATCAATAAACATTAAGTTTTGGATAAATTAATCATTAAATTAATTTTTGGAAGTGCATATTGTTTTGTTCAAACGTTTTCGAATTCATCTTATAGCACCTAGAAGTAGCAGCCTAATGTTACATTATAGAGATACCAGCCACATATTGACAAAACGATACAATCTTCAAGAACTTGATTTGCTGGATTAGAGTACCAATTGTTGAATAATGTGGAACTCCTACACCAAAACACAAGCATCACTTTATTAGACTTACAACCAAATCCGGAATTTAAATAGCCCTGAAAGGTTTTAAAAAAACCTTAAGACCAATAAAAGTTTCATTAATCAACCGAATAAAATTACTGTGATGATATTCAATAACGAATTAAATTTTCGTAATAAAGCGAAAAGAAACAATGTTTCAGCACTTTGTGCGCATCATTTTCATGACATTGCAAATAAACTTTTTGTTACACGACCAAGAAGTTTAATTAAATTTACGCAATGAATAAACTGTAATCATCAAATTGTGCAAAATGTAATTAAATAATTGCAACTTCCTATCTCCAAAATTTCTCCAGTATAAATTGTCAATTATAATTCACGGAGGAATTAGTGCTTTTTGTCATTCAGAGCAAGTCGTTAAAAGATGTGAAATAAAAAATAAAAGTATAGTTCTCCTATGTTATTATGCAACATATTACAAAGCTTGCATTTATCATCTGCAACATTTTTATCGTTTTTGAGCTTTTCACATCAAAAGCTCTTGCAGCTGTAAGTTATATATATTTTAATTAAGAATCACAAAGTGAAAATGTTTGAATTAAATTATCTTATAATACGAACAGATGACGATAGCTCAATTTCAGCAAACAGTGAAAACGATTCGTGCTACTTGTAGTGCAAAGTACAATCTCTCGGATGAATTAATTGACGGTTGGTTCATGGCAATATGTTGCCTTACTTTTAAGAAAAGGAAAATTTTGAATCACATTTAATTAATTCAAACATTTTAATTTGCAGGTTTAAAGAAGGGTAAATTTATAGAAAGCAATAAGGAGCTGAAATCTTATGTATTTTGTGTAGCACAAATGTCAGGAATATTGTCAAAAAGGAATGAAGTCAACGAACAGAAAATGATGAGTCAAATCGAAAATTTACTTCCTGAAGAGTATAAAGATCATTCGTTAACTGTATGGAATGCATGTAAAAAAACACAACAAGGCATACCTGATAAGTTTGATAGAATTTTCAAATTAACTAAATGCTTTTATGATGTCGATCCTGCAAAATTTATTTTCCCTTAAAGTTAAGCTATTCTGTACTGCTCGGGAAAAAATCTAAAATATTCAAATCAATGTGAATAACCTTAAGATAATCATACATAAATTATGATGATGATGATGTTGATGACTACATATGTGGAGCAGCTTTTTCATGGACCATGGCAAAATACTAAAATGATAAGAAAATATTTTTATTTTTGTTGGTCTTTGATGCTGTAAAAATTTTGCTAGATTCTTTTTTTTTTGATGATGATGTTGAAATGCCATAATAAAATTAAATTAAATTTTACAAGCAAACGATGAGACTGCAGTGAGAGCTTTATACTTTATAATGTCAAAAGATTACAAAATTGGTATTTGAAATGTGAAGGATACTAGAAAGTTGTCAAGACTTATCATTTTATTGAATGTCAAGCGTCTTAATATTGACGGAATGATAATTTTTGAAAATAAAATCAATCTGCAGTTTTAGAGAGGTTTGTTGGTTTGTGACATCTGAAGTTTGAAAGGAAGTGGCTTGAACTTCTTTAAAAGAAATTATAGGAAGAAATCCATCAAAATTGAATCTGAGTTTAATTTCAATCAATACCTTTTTGATTATTTTTATTCAGTTCCACTTCCTTGATTTCAACGATGTCTAAAAGAAAACCAGTAACATCTTTGACGGTCTATCCCATAGGTCACGGCGTTTTTTTACGGATTAATCGTTTATAAAGTCATTATTTTAATAAAATAATTAAACTTAAACAAGTTTAAGCGACAAAAAGGAGTCAAATACAGTTCTTAAGTAACCCGCTCAGGAACATAAACAGGAACAACATTTTGGCCACATGCAGTACAAGTCGAAAAAGTTGAAAAAAAAAAATAAAAAGTAAAGAGACACAAACAATATATTGAGGATAGAAAATGACACCATAATCGTGTTATTTGCACACATTATGGGAAGTGAGAGAGAGCGACGGGGACAGAAATTTGTTAAAACCATAAAATCTAAATATATATCCTTTTCTGCTAGAATTTTAATGATTTTGGCATCAGATTCTATAGCTCGTAGTTGATTTACAAATCAATGCGCATAATTTTGGGCTTTTGCGGCATTAATGGTTTTTCTGTGTCTCATTCTGTCTCCATATACACAACAGTGAAGCCCTTATTTGTATGTTAATTTATGGATAGTTTGGAAATGTTCATAGATTTTAAAGGAAATTATATTTTTTATTTCCAAATAGAATTATCACAAGTTTGTTGAATATATTGCAAGCCTCTACTGTAGTCAAATGCTGACTGTATGTATGTGAAATTTTTGCCTAATGCCAAAATTGCATTTTCATCAGCCAGATAAATTTGTGAGTAGATTATAAAATTAAACATTCGTTATCTCACTCAAAAGTGCACACATTTGTACGGGTTTGTAGGTAAAAATTAATTATAAATTATTAATTAGCATTTTTTAATGCATGAAACTATGAAATTTAATTCTTTGCTTAATTTTTTTTCATGTTGTTTAATGACTTTTGCTATGCAGCCCTAGGGCTCATTTACTTATTGTAAAACATCATAAAACAATTTTTAAAATCTTCTTCCACGCTTGTTACAAAATTTTCAAGGCATATCCACTCGGAAACAATCCAAAAATTCCCCAAAAAAATTGAAATAAAGTGAAATTCAAAGTTTGATGATAAGTGCTTGAAATCCTTTACTTGGGAGATCGATTACAAAATCCTAGATCCCCTTCCCCCTTAAGAGCGAATTTAATAAGTGAACAACCCCTTATAAATGAATTAAAAAAGTTTATGTTCCACATTTCTTTTGAAAGACGATTGAATTTTATGGTAAATGAATAGTTAGGAAAAAATTACAGAAGTCCTCGTGTTATTGATCGAGAGACTTAAGCGCATTTTTGTGTTATCGATCAGGATTTGATTATCTAATTATTTTGCATTCACCTTCAGATCATGAGAAGATTAGAAGTTCATTAATTTAAGTGTAATTAACAAATAATTACATTGAATTTCCATATAGTAAGGCTTTATCATTTAACGGTTTTTTGAAATTTAAATTTTACAACGGCTAGAAAAAATTTGAAATTATAGAGGTAATGTTGAAATAATAGAGGTAAAACAAAATTTGGGCAGGTTACACTGAAAACAAAATAAAAATCATTAATTTTAGTATAAATACACTGTTTCAAGACTTTTAACTACTCAATGGGCCGATAAATCGATAGTAACGGAGCTAATAAAACAAACCCGAGCTCTCTACGATGTCTGGTTAAAAAGTTTTTCTTCGCCCGAGCAGCCGAACAGCCGAACAAAGTGTATTATTAAGCTACCTTTTAAAAACAAGTTTCAAAAATGCGCTAAAAATTACTCTATGATATGTAAATTTTTTAAAACTACGAATTCACGTTTGCACATAAAAAATTGAGTTTTCTTCATTGATATTTGCATATATAAATATGCAGGTAGGTATAATGAATGCTTTCTTTTATATGTTATTCATAACGCATCATTTATACCCTTTTGAATAAATTCACTCTACAATGCATGGCATGAACAGAATAAATATCTAGTGATGAAATATAAATTATATAGCATTTCCACTGTCTTTTTAATTTATATGAGTTTTATGTGATCAAAGAAGGAAAACTTTAAGTAAAGCTTTTGATTTCAATTTGTGCATGTCTCTTGATGAAGGTTTTAAATAACAATTTTGTAAATTTTTAATGCAAATATGAAATTATTGCGCCCCTAAATGTTGAAAGCTATTTTATATCTAGATCAAAACCGAGGAACACAAAAAACGCTTTTTTTTCTTTCATCTGTTAATATTAGGTTTAGTTTATGTTTAAATTGCTCGAGTCAACACACTCGGTTCTCTCCAAAAAATTTTGAGGACCACTAGCCTTGAAATAAAAATCGAAAGTTACCAAAAAAACCAAAAATATCCAAACCATGCTGGATGACTAGAAATATTATCATCTTCATCACAAGCATTTTTTTCATAAAATTTATTAATTTATTATGTTCCGACAGAGATTTTCAGATAACCACTTAAATAAATATTATTTTTCCACAGATGCACTTAAGCACCACTTAAATTATTCCCTGTGAATAAGTTATTAATGTGCTGGATATCATGAACTTTGTTATCATGGATCAAACATTTTGAATGAATATTTTTGCATAAATCCCTAAGAAGCACTAAAATTTCATAATAATCATAAAGTTTCATGATGAAAAAAAAAGTAAGGAAAAAGAAAAACAAATTTACTGCACGAAAGCGAGTGAGGAAAAACTTATCATTTGGATCACAATTTTCTTTTTCATTTCCAGTAGTAATGTTGTAATTAATGCTTGCATAAATTGGTGAGACGTGATGTTGAATAAAATGTATCAATTTGGAAAAGCTTCTTTAATATTCATCTCCTGATGCTTATCACTGTGATACATATACACATTCATTTGTCTCGCTCGCTCCCTCTTTGCACATTTTGTGGGGGATCCGATGCTGCAGAATTATCTCAATTAGTAACAAGATTGTTGATATCAATCATGAAAATTTTGAGAATGTGTCTATTTTTCAGCTTGAAGCTTAGATGGAAGGATAATGGATGAAACAAATTGAAAGCTTTTTATTTCGTGGATGCATATTCAACCCGCATCAAAATGATAAATTTTTTAAAAGCTTTTAAAATTGATTTTCAAGCATAAGCTTGATTTGGTCTTCTCAAGTATAATATATATGACACAATTATTGTTTGGGTAATGCGGTGAAATGGCATCAGTAGCCTAAATGGTAGAGCGTTGGCCTTTCGTGCCAAAGGTCCTGGGTTCAATCCCAGGCCATGTCTAAGTTTCGAAGCTCTTTTTCCATTCTAGTTACGAAGCTCGTGTGTTGGTTGTAGTATTGTTGTCTTTGGCACAGAATATGCCTCCTTTGCTAGGTATACAAGGATATACTAGCATCTTGATGACTTCCTTACGAATTGTGACTAGGTACATCAGGTCTTTTGACGTACTCGTGTCTTTGCAGAGTGCAGAGCTTGCTTGCTGTACAAAAGATTCTTTACAAATTGAATCACAGTGCCTACAACTGAAAGACTGGGTCCTTCACACATTATTATTATTATTATTATTAATGTGGGAATGAATCATATAGACATGTTCCAGAGAATCCAAGAGAGGTTGGTCAGATTATAGTATATATAGATTATACAAGTAAGTTTGATTTCTTAAGTATTGATTCTTCACAGCGTTGTAGATTACATCACAATCCAAACAATTTAAATCTAAACGGTTTGACTATAAAAAAATAATTCGACATGCTCATTCTCATTGACACTAATCTTTTATTAACCATATGCTCACTCAATAAATTGTAATAATCACAGCAAAAGAAATTAAGCGACAACAAATTTAGAGCTTCCTTTATTTCTATTATGGAAAATATGTGTATGAAATAAAATAATACATGTGTAGCATGACATGACAATTTCAATTTTGAAAATGTGAGTAAACTGAAAAGAATAAATAAAGGGGTTGAGTGAAAGCAGTAACGGTTGTTAGTGATTTAATTGCTCAAAAGCACGAATTGGATTTTAAAAAACGCGACTCTATGGCTGCTACTGTAAAAGTATACAAACAAATACTATTGCATATATATATGTGACATTCCGAGATTAAAAGCTTTTATGCTTTTGGTTCAATTTACTCTATGATACAAATAAAAATTGTTTTAACTTTATTTGAACACTTCATTCATGTAGACCTTTTTAGTGCTTCCAACTTGCATTAAAAATTCATCCCTGCTTTGCCTTGCAGAAAAATTCTATTTTACATGCTGATTTATTTTGCCATAGTCATTATAACACGGAAATTAAAGGCATGAAGTGAGTCATTTATCCATTTCTATTTTTAATTCCAAAACATTATGCTGACGTTTTAATTATGAAAATCGATGTTTCCCTTACTTTTGTTGCTTTCTTTCTGTTTTTTTGTTGATCTGCTAATAAGATAATGGTAAATGCTGAAGTTCCATTGGTTTTTATGCATACTAGAATTGAATTGCATTTGTGAATAAAAAGTTTTAATGAGGTGTGGAGGTATGTGTGGTAACCTCATTATTTTACGTACAAATAATCAACATAATGAATTGAAAAGGATAATTAAAGTTTAATTTTATTGCCAACACTGCTCCTGACAGTGGAAATAAACTTCAACTTCTTACAAGCAATAGAAACATTATAAAATATTTATCAAAAATTGTGATTTTTTTAAACCTTATTTTTTTAATACAAAAATAAATCAACCTTAATTGAAATTAGAAACAGATCGGAAAAATAATATTGAATTACACTTTGCAATTTTTGATGAAGGAGATAAATTCATAACAAGCTAATTTTCATATTACGTTTCAATCACCATGACAAAATCAATTTCTTTTTCATCTTTAAGTCTAAAATGCTATAAGTCGATTCTGCAAAAAAAATACTTCATGACAAAATGAAAATTGAATTGACAGAATTACCCTCGTTTACAAGCACAGAAGCAAAAAAAATATTTTTCTCATTGCCATTTAAATTCAATGAAGAATCCACAGTGAAGAAAATAAATTCCCTGAAGCTAATTGAAATAGATTTTTGCCAGCCAATTTTACACATCGATTTAATATAGCAAAATTTATTTGATTTTCAGTTTGGGAAACCGCTGACTTCATGAAAGAAAGGGATAAGTTTTAAAAAAATAATAATAAATTCTCAAATCATTTTATAGAAGAATGCACATGAAATTTTTAGTGCACCGTGAATTTACTGCAATTGACATTTTTCAATTTTTTAACTGCTCCATCAACCAAGAATGGAAACACGAATTTTCCATTTCTGCATTGCTTTTTTGGCATTTAATCGTAAATTCGTTCATTTTATTGAACTAGAAAATTTAATTGAAACAATTCAAATTGTTTTTCAAAACCAATGCGATTCAATAATAGTTTGAGGACTCAAAATGTTTGTTGTTGATCTGCTATTCATGCATGAATGAATTAGGAAATTTTGATTGTTATTTCTATTCACCGTGAATTTCGTTCAATTTTTTTAAACGAGGTTCAGAAAATATTAACATTGATTAAGAGAAGTCTAGCCATAAATACAATTTCAATCTGTATATTTTAATTTTAATTCTAATGATATTAATTTGTACAACCAAAATTTAAATGTATCTATAATATACGCAAGGGGGGCTTTGTCGATTTTAAAGAGAGTTTAATTTTTCTCTCACCTCAACTACTCAAATATCTTTCTATGGATACTATCTGGATCCCCATACTTAGTGCATTATTACTTCATAACTAATTATGTGATATAGACATAGCGATCACAGGTTTAAGACTCGGCAAATGAAAAATCATTGGTCATGAGATAAGAAGCTCTCATAAGAGCATAAAGTTTTAAATTAAATTTAAACTCATTATTAATGAATTAAATAAATTAATCAAAGCTTCATTTAATCACATCAAACTGCATATAATTAAATTCAGTAACCTGTCATATTAACTTTAACCTATCTGTGGATCAAAATCAATGTAAATATTTTAATGAAATTTAATTATTCACATACATGGTATGTTGTTTGATTTTATCTGATAAAAGATTCTTTATGTGATAGACATGAAACATGTTCGATTTTTCATTTATATATTTATAATGTTGCCCTCTTCAATTATTCTCATGTCGCTTCCGAGACAATCAACATACATGACATGCGAAACTTTTTCATCTATTTATGTTGTTGTTGTTGTTGTTGTTCCTTTCCCTTTGTATTGTTGTTTTGTTTTTGTTCCAATGTGACATATGAGAAGATCTGATTGGGAAAAGAGTAGAGTTTGAGGGAGGTTAAGACTTATAAGTATCTTATTGTATGTTATCAAAATGTTATTGGTCTTATTCCTTCTACAAACATACTGCTTGAGCTTGTTTTGGTAGAAAGTGATATAAATAATAAACGAGGAATAAAACATTCATTTATAATTGATTCATAAAGTCCCACCAGAGATTTTATCATGAAAAAGAGACACGTTAAAATTTGATCAATATTAATGCCATCGCTTATATCCTTGTGACAAAAGAAACTTAAGGACATAATCTCTTTACTGAATAGGGAGAAACAAAATCGATTTTGTTTGAAAAAGTTTAATGGAATGCATTCCATATAAATCAAATTATCATTCGAATTTCTTTCATTCACTAAGTCATTCGTTTCTTCTTCCTTGTTCCTCCTTCTTCTTTGAATTTTCTACTGGATAATGCAAGAAATCTTTTTGATAGATTTTTAATATCAGCACTTTTTCTTTTGTTCAGCATTTTCAGCTTATTTAAATTTAGCTTTCTAGTTTCAATATGAATCATTAATGTACCCAAAATTGACTGTTTTATTAGTTCCTTCTTTACTATACAGAGCAGAACAAAGCAAAAACTATCTTTTAAGTGAAACATTTGGTAAGATGAGCATCAGTTTTTTAAGGTTATCTTGATATTCTTTTGATTTTAAACTAGCTAGGTGGATACAATTTCAAACGTTGCCACCACAAAGTGGCAGTTACTTGGAATCATTTGAAGCCAAAATATTTCTGGCAATTATGGTTTTTAAGGCACTATCGACTCTCTTTCAAAGAAACCTACATTTTAAGATATTAAAAAGCAAGAATGAACACAGTAGGAATTTTTCAGAATCAATTTTCGTCTCATCTTCCTATAAAATAATTTTTATCACATGAATAGCAAATGCAAATGAAAATGGGAGGACAGAAGAAAATTTCTCGAAAGCAAAAAAAACCAATAAATTTGAAAATTCTTTCTGCAGACATGAAAACAATTTTTTGCAGCTTTCTATGTACATTTCCAACTTCCGTTCCTCTCCGATCGTTCAATAACTTTCATGTTTGAAAAGTGTTAAGTGCAAAAAAAAAACTTTTATGAATGCTATTGTAATATTTATGGAACCAACTTTTAATTTTTATCTAAAAAATTTATTATCGAAATATTCAATTCATTTGAGTATCCCACACTCAAAACTTCTCGATAATTGTTGTTGTGAAGGAAGATGTCATAAATTGTTGAACATTTTGTGGGGAGAGAAAAGTTAGGCAAAACGAATCACAAGAAAGTTATGGCAAATGCCACATACACTTTATATTTTCTGTGAATGGAATCATAATGTCAAAAGTTTAACACAATTTCCTACAAATCTCTTGAGAACATTCTCAATAATTAATCTAATTTTGCTGATAATTTTATCCTAATTGAGGTTGTCTGTTGAACTGGTAAAATTGTATTAGATACAATAAAATAAACAAATTCTCTTATGACCCGAAGAGCTTTAAATTTCCTTCCTTATTCTGACTTGATAAAAATTTTTATTGTTTAATTATCTTTTATATCGCATCCTCAATTATTCGCCCCTTTTTCCTAACCACATAATTGAAAATGTAGCAAGAAGCAAGAATTTTTTTAACATCATAATAAATTTAGCTCGGATTTTTTTTTCTTATTCTGCATTTGAGTAAATTTTATGGATTATTTGTTAAATTTAAGAATATTTAAAATACAAATTTTTAACGATTTCCAAAAAATTGATTATTGTCATCAACAGCATGCCGTTAAGTATGACATTTATTGTTTTTGAGTAAAGAAGTATCTAGGATATATTAGCTAAATGAATCTGCTAGATTTAGAGCAAGACCTTTGTAAAAAAAAAAAAAAAAAAAAAAAAAAAAAAAAAAAAAAAACCTTTACCTATTCAGATCAATTGTGATCCAGAGGTGCGCTAGGGCGATTCGCAGCTAATGAGAGTTTAACGAGTGAGGATGCGCCAAACCACTGCACTCAAACCTAGACCTACAATTTATAGTGGGATCCGAACCACTCCTTTGATGACATTTCTGTCTGTAGCCTACAAAGGAAGGCTGTGAGCCTCATTTCCAGTACATATGATTCGAAAAAGAACAAGTGAAAAATTTCCCATACCCAGTCTCGAACCCATGATCGCTGTGTCGGGATTGCAATAATTAGGTACCGAAGTACTAAACCATTCCGCCACCGAGCCACTTCAGCTCACCTTTGTAACTTAGTAGATATTCAGTAGACCGGATATATGGAACCCTATTTTTTGAAGATGCGGGTTTGACTTCAGTTGAGACTGATTCATAAACGTTTACATAGGTTGCCACTTATTTATTACATAACGCTTTAAGGACGTTGAAAGGAAGACGTTTCAAGCAGAAATGAATTTTCTTCATGCAAATTTTTGTGACAACAGGGAGGGAAGTATAATAAGTCGTTTTTTCGCGTTACGTAATAATCTTACGTACCCAAGAATGTTTTCAATACTTCAATAAGCAAGATCTGGACATTTGTTTTATAAGTTGCTAAGGAACTAAAGTAAACTACTGTTCAGGTTTCAAAATGTTATGGATTACAAAAAATAAAAAAAAATTTAAGAATACACAAAAGTGGCTATTCCTGCAACTATTTCATAATTTGCTTGTGACATTTATTTTTTATTTGTTAAGGAAGCCATAATAATTAAATACAATGACTTAAAAATAACAAAATAAGAAAACGACAACTAAGTTACCGGCTCACTTATAATTTCTAAAGATTCTTCTATTTTTGAGTCATTGTTAGGACGTAAAGCCTTTTGGATATCAAAAGCAAATGACTCTTTCATTTTAAAAAAATTAATTTAAAAACATTAAAGCACATAAACTTTAAAATTAACTTAATTATTTTTCAGCTCTCCATTCAAAATTAGTTTTGAAGCTCTTTCTGCCACCGCAACTATTGCTGAATTCGGATAGCCAGAAAGTGGCAAAGGAAAAACACTTCCATCAATAACCCTTAACTTTTTTACACCAATCACATTCAAATCATTATCAACAACACTGCCGATAGCACAAGTTCCACCTGGATGATGAGCTGTCAAAGCAGCATGTCTTAATAAGCACTCAAGATATCGATCACTTGGCTCAAAATTGGGTTCATCAAAAGGCCCAAAGTTTTGACATTGCCTTAACTTTGGAAAATGGATTGTTGCTCCAATTGCTTGAAAAGCATCTGACTTAATCAATCTTATATTTAATCTGATAGCATTTATCATACACTCAATATCATAATCCTCTTTCAAATATTGCGGATCAATCAAAAAATCATTTCCGAAAGTTTTTGGATTTAACATAATCCTTCCTCGACTCTTTGGCATATAGCATGTACTTAGAGCAATAAAACCTTCTTGACTTGAGTTAGCATAAAGTGGAAAGAAAGCACGAAATACATCTGTCTTAAAATTTGCAACATGCTTCAATGTCTTCTCGTCAGCACTTCCTGTTCCAAAGAGTATCAGACCGTAATCGTTCAATCTACCGGAACCAATAACAGCTGTTGTCGACAAAATGCCAGCACCATCAACCAGATATCGATAAATCTCACGGGCACTTAGAATTTTATCCTTTGTGACAGTAGCCGATTCAGTGATGGACACAAACAATGGGAAATTCATGTGATCGAATAAATTTTCACCTACTGCCTGTGAATCATGAATTAAATCGATTCCAAACTTTTTCAATTCATTTTTGTCACCAATTCCCGAGCGCTTTAGAATGTGTGGTGAATGAAATGTTCCCGCAGCCAGAATCACTTCCTTTCGCACATTAACTCGTGTCACTTGAGACTGTGTTACAATTTTAACGGATATCGCTTCTTTGTTTTCATTAAATTCAATTTTCTCAACTCTCGCGTGTACGACAATTGAGAGATTTTTATGCTTATATGCACGTCGTAGATATTCATGAAAAACTGTATGTCGAACGCCCTTCCGTGTTGTAAACTTTGACAGATTCAATGTAACATTTGGGTTGAAATTTGCCTTCAATTCTTTTTTTGCTTTTGTAAAAGCACGAGTCAATGGTGATTCATTCTCCATTTCTACAATGGAAAGCTTTGGTGAATCGCTGTCATTTTCACATTTTCCATTATCATTCATTTCATGGCGGTGTAAGTAGCATTTCAAATTATCATAACTCCAATTGACAGCACCTGCTTTACGCCATTCATCAAAATCTCCAGGAATGCCGCTGAAATGCAACAAGTAATTTAATTGATTTGATCCACCCACTCCTTTTCCTCGAGACAAACATTGCTGTTCATTTTTTAAGCCACGCGATGAATATAATTGTGGTGCTGATTTTAATTGCCAATCCATTTCAGTGCCTTGCATCATTGTACTCAATATAGGAATAATCGATAATCCATTAAAAATTCCACCCGCTTCAATTAGTAATACCGTATAATTTGAGTGCTTTGATAACTCATAAGCTAAAACGCTTCCTGACGTTCCCGATCCTATAATTATAAAGTCATAATATCTATCCTTTATAACATCAATCGACACAAGATTCGGTATATATTCGTAATCAAATATCAACTTGTAAGCTATGGCGATAAGTCCTGTCAACAGCGTAGCCAGTATCACTGAAATTACAATGATTATAAATAATTAATGAGAGCGTCAACATCTATGTCTGCTATTCAGTACTCAATTGATGTATTATTGAATGAGAATTATTTACTAAACAGCAGTGTTGGTACTCTGGCAGATGCATCGGATATGCTTATGCTTTTGCAACTTATAATTTATTTATGTGATAGTTCAGTAACTACATCACATTTTGGGTCAAAAAAAGCTCAAGACCAGTGGTGGATAACCTTTTTATATCATGGCACAAATTGATCCCAGAAAATTTATCGTGGCATAGCTGAGCATTCTTTAGAATCCACTTGTGTATCGCAGCACATAGATTGTTCACCACTGCTCTACAATATAATTTATATTGTTGCAAAATTTCAATGCTCAAAATTTTTGTTTCTATGGAAATTTCATGTGAATCATGTACCAGAAAAGCACCACTGTTGATTACCAATTAGGATAGAATCGTTTGTACTCACAAAATTGCTGAACAAAATTCATTGCACTTGAATGATTGTCACCACGAAATTTATAATTTATGTTTACACAACTACGTTTCGGTATGAAATAAAAATAGAATCACAAAAATACGTAAAAGCAAGCCATAAGTCACTGTAATAGCAATATCGTGCATTAACAACGAGCACTTTTTTTACAAAAGCAAACATTCAAAAGCGATAGACAAGCTTAATTGAATTAGTGAAACAATAACTCAAAAGGAGGAGGAATGGGACGTCGAGGAAAATCGATAATAGGAAAAACTTTATAAATAGAGCTGAGCGCTAACTATTCAACAATAGAGAATGAGAAGAGCAGTCAATATTTTTGTTTAAACATTAGTTTTTATGCTGTATAGGTGAGAATATAAACTTTAGATTGTAAATTGACACAATTTAAATTGAAAATATTTGCATTTAATAATTAATTATCATTGTCTCTTTGACAATTTTGAAAATCTCATTTATCATTGTATATACATTGGGAATACGTGCAGGTATTTGTTGCTTTTCTTATTCTCTCAATTTCAATTAAATACAAACAAATTAAAGATTCCATAACAATTTGTTTGGCCTCATTTGGATCTTCATCCTATCCTATTCATACAAATTATAGTCACATAATTCTGCTAAAATTATAATTACTATATTCGTTGCATAATCTCCATATTCTTTGTATAGAACTCACATTATTTATCACGTAGTTTGAAAAACAAACTAAAAACTTTTCCTTCTTTGCTTTAAAATAAAGAAAAAAAATTAAAAACTTTCAGTCATTTTCAGGAATTGGAAGGAATTCCATGCCTTATCTTTCTTAGACGTGATTTAAAATATTTATTTTACTCAAGATGTTAGAAAGACGATTCTACAACTGGAAAAGCAAAGGTATTCAAGAAGAAATTCTTGTAGATTTGCACAATTTAAGTTTAAACAGTTTGGTCTTTTGTTAACATAGATCTTAAACTGTGCTAGGAGATGGTTTCGTACTAGACTAGCAATTATTAATAGAACTTAAGTAACTCATTTGAAGGCATCATAATTTGAAAGGTTTTTCATAATAAGCAGAGTTCAAAATTGATTCTGATCGATCAGACGATTCTTGAAGTTAAAAAATGCGAACCACATTTACTAAAGTTCTAATAGTTACCACCACGCAAAATACTTCTACAGCTCAGTTAACCGTCATAAACATAATTAAATATTAAGAAGCAGTTAAGTGCCTTGCTGGTCGAATAGGTAAGGCGCTTGGCTCAAATTTGGGATGGTAACTCGAAGGTCGTCGGTTCGAATCCAGCCATTTCCAAATTTGTTCTTTTTCGGAAGTTTAGATACTTCGACTGCTTAATGTACGAGATCAAGCCATAATTGGGCATTTGGGCAACGTTGGATTAAGGAACGGGTCAGGAACTTGAAGTGTAGCGGGAGAAATAGGAACGAGAGCTACAAGATTACCCACGAATGGAATATTGATAGAACGGACCTGAAAAGTATCACGTAACGCCTACAGAAGATCGAAACGAGAGCCTTAGTTTATTTGAAACCTAGATATGAAGATTAGAAGTTTGATCCTACATAATACTAATTCATATGTATACAAATACAAAAGTGTAAAATGTGAATTATTTCCGGACAGTATGTCGTCAATAAATGCAATAAAGTGCAATTAAAATGAGAAAAAAAATATTTATAAAATAATAAGGAGATAGAAAAAGTTTCAATTTTTAATCAGGAAGGATTAAAACCACCTGTAATCTATTGAAAATTCCATTTCCCCAAAGTATTTTTTTTTTCATTTCGCACATAATTAACAATAAAGCATTCGCATTTAAAAACAATGAGAAGAGAACAATGAACGAAGAATGAAAGAAAATATACTAAAATGAATCAGAATTTGCTCGATTTATGAGGCACACGAAAAGCGCTTTACACTTCATTTATAGTCCAATTAAATTAAATGGTAGGCGTTCGTGGAAACCGCCCTACTTTTGTGGTGGTAAAAGTCTATTTGAGAAATTAATTTGTATTATATTAATTTCACCTCTCATTTGTGTGACCCATACACGTTTATCTTTCCTTCCATATCAAACGAATATTTTAATTGCTTGTAGGCATGAACACTTCGAGTATTAAATTTTTTATAAACTTTTTCCCTTCATTTTCTCTTATTTTCTGTATGTTTGTATAAAATTAAATCAAATCGAAATAATTAATTTGAATGCTTATTTTTTGGGAAAATCGAAAGCAAATGAAAATTGTCAGTCGATTGAAAATCGAAATTAAAATATAATTACTAACCTCAATTGGCAATGCGAGCAACTTCTGTTTTCACCTTGTTTTATGGAAATATTTGAATTTGGAAACTCATTTTATCACATTACTGCAATAAAAATTTAAATATTTCGCTATTTTTAGATTCAGCCATGAAGCATCTATTCACACATTCCACAAATGCAATTCCATTTCATGAAATTTGATTGAGGATGCAGCAATTCATTATTTTAAATTTTAATCCTTTTTCATTTGTGGAAGCTTAAAATTCACAATTATAAGTGATTCAGCATCAAAAGAATTTAAAATTCGTAGTCTCGCAGAATTGTTAGTATTTTGACTTAGGGATTCAGATATTTTAAATTACATTTTAATTGACTATAGTCTTTAATGTTGCTAAATGTTGAATATACAAATTTGTGTCCTAAAACTTTAAATATAAGGTAGCCAAAATTGAGTAAAATCTTAACTTACAAAGATTTTGAACTCTCGAATTCCAATCAAAATTTTCAATTCTCTTCTTATAAATAAAGCTATATCAGCTATCAAAGACTATACAAGCTCCTTACATTTAAAGTGTTTTAAAGCATTTCTAAAAGAATTTTACAGTTTAATTTTTTCTTTTATTCTCTTTAAATAAATGAACTTATAAGCACTGGAAACGACATCACTTTTAAAGTTTCATTCCCTCCTCGTTTTTTATTCAAATTCTTATCGCTTCATTTATGGTTAAATAGTCAAAAGAAACTCGCATAAAAACAGTTCCATATTTCCAAGAAAAAAAACTCGATAAAAATTTGCATAACTTTTTTTTCACTTACTTAAGAAGCAAAAGATGATAATAAAAATAGATTTGAGCCATGTGACTTTAAATAGCTTGTTATTATAGAAAACATGAATAAACAAGATTTCTTTTATAAGAAATAAAAACTTTTTTCTTTGGCATTTCTCTTTGAAATAATTTTTTTTTTATCAAAAGCACCAATCTATTCTTGAAAAATAGCAAATCTCAATTGAATTTTTGAAATAATATATCTTGAAGCAGATTGCACTCAAAGCATGACAAAGACTAACCACAAATGTCTTGCAGTAGTTGTAGAAATCATTTTCTGTGTCAAGATTAAACAGAATGAACTTATTCTAAAGAGTTTCCCTCAACTTCAAGTCTGACATCGAAGAAAAGACATTTAGTATGTGTTATCGTCTTTCCCTTTTTTGGGTACAAAGTGTGTGAAAATGATTTTCAAAGAGAAAATTCTATAAATTCTAATAAAACAGTTTCCGTGTTTTTTGTACATTTTGTTGCCAAAAATGGATAAATGTGAAAGAGAATCCTAAAATGCTACAAAATTGTTTGTTGTGTGAAGCACAAAATTTTATCAGCATAATTGAAAAAATATATATATATATATATATAGATTTTTTTAGAAAAGCCTCAAATTGCCATAATGGCACAAAACATATTTTGAGTTGGAAAAGTGAGAAGAAGATTATGAACACTCAGTTCAATTACGGTCGAACCAGAATTCCATTATTGATGACTTTATATTGCTTTCGATTCATAAATGCCTTTGACTGTCATATTTTTCGTATAGATAGGAACGAGAAGTTGCAGTTGAGGCATCACATCTATGCATTTCATACATATTAAAATTGAAATTATCTTATAGATAGATAGCTATGTGTGACCGACATAATTCTCGAATATATATTCATATAGGGGATTCATTTAATATTTGTTCCGAATAAATTAATATATGTGTGCATGTATACAGGAAAAATTTGAGGTATCTACACTTAAGCCTGACTCTTTCTATGATATTTTGCAATTTTAAAATCCTATACATACTCATACATTTTATAATTAAATTTGAAAATCTTCTCATGACCTCAAGCTCCATACACGTTCATATTTTCATCTTCTTAAATCATATTTATGCACACAAAGTGTGAGGAAACTCATAAATTGCTTTATAATTAGCTTCATGATGCACTTAACTAGCATATGCAATGAACTGAATTATGCTTTTTTAAAAGTTTTTCAGTTTCCATAAATAATTGCGCATTTCCTCGTCTATCGAAAGATACTCAATAGGTGAAACCTACTGTAAAGGCTATTTTTCGTTTTAATAGCATTAACGCGGTGTTCGCTTCATGAAAATCTCTGTCATAACATCAATATTTTCATGTTTGCATTTCACTACGCATAACAGATAGTTGTAGATCTTGATATTTTGCTTGATACGAGACTTTTCTTTTGTACTAAGTCGTCCACCAACTAAATTCATAAATTTTTCAACTAGTTTGTATCAGTTTGTATGGATAAATAACTTGAAGGGAGAAGAGTAATGTTTGCTTTTACGAAACACTTACAACTTTGATCCCATTTTAAAATAACACAAAAAAAAACTAGTCTACATATAAAAGACAATATGAATGCAAAAGCTCACGACAAAAAAAAGCATTCAAAAAAGATTTTGCAGAATATGAAATCAGGGAATCTTTCGAGGCAATGAGTGGAGAAAATTTATGATCGTTTAATGAATAAGCACACACACACACACACACACACACCAACATTAATTTTATCCTCATTATGTGGTAAAGGTCAACGATGCGATTTTATAATAATATTTCACCATTTGTTACCTTACTATTATGTGAAGTATTTAACTGAAAAATAATGATATTTATTTATTCACATTATGATGCTCTACTGGACACAATAAAATATTGACTTTATCGGTTTGAATTTCCCACTCTCTACTATGTCGGTAAAGGAAAAGGATTGTGAAGACATATTAGCTTATTTACATTTATTGACTTGCAATTTAAACACTTTATACAGATAGTAAGCAGAATTTTGCATTTTTCTAACTAGGTCACAACTCAATTCAGGATTATTATTGAGATTCAGAACATGAAGCTTTGACCAGGTCTTTAGCATGGATGTAAAATTTAAAGACACAATATTATTGTCAGATGCAAGTAAATATTCCAATTGCTTAAGTGAGACAAGCTGCTTACAATCGACAGATTTTATCATGTTGTTACTGACATCAACATATTTCAATTTAGTAAATTGCACCAGAAAATCAATTGAATGCAATGAACAATTTCGACATGTAAAATATTCCATTTGATTTATTCTGCTGTATTTATATAATTGTTCCAATTGTTGATATGACAATTGCAAATGTAAACGTTCATTCACATTACGTGACATTCTTCTCGTCTGGCTTCTGATTGAATTTCTTAAAAAGTAGACAAACGAAGCCACAGTAAATTTTTCATTACCTTCTTCATTGTCATTAATTTTCGATATTTCATGACGAAATTGATACGGATTCTGATTTTTATAATAGTCAATTGCAACATCTATCATAACTTTGAGGTTTTCCGACACATTTTCGTTCAATGAAATTTTGATTAAAGATTGTACAGCTTCTTCGGATATCCTGCCCGGTCGGAAAATGTCCATCAGATATTGTATATTACTATTGTACTCAAAATCAATGCTCGTTCGTGCAACAGCACGTTTATATCTCATTCCAACTAAATCCGGTAAAGGGTTAGAAAGACGATCATCAATGTTTGAATTCATTCGTCTATTCATTGGATTTTCAGGATGCTGAAACGAGGACGGTGCTCTATGTCGTCGATGTTGCATATTTCCTTTATTATTATTCCTATTATAATCATCATCTTCTTCGCTTTCGCTTGAGGAGATAAACGAACCATCACTTTCCTTTTCCACAGCATCAATCATTTGACCTCTTATATTTATAGATGTAAAGTTATTTTCGGATAAATTTAATGACTGGATATTTGTGTAGTAAATAAGTGATGTCATATTGGTTAATCTATTTCCTGTAACGTTTAAGTTTCTTATGAATTGCGATGATGGCATTAGAATTGGTAATTCATTTAAATAATTATAATTAAGATAGATGTCTATGAGATGGTAATTTCTTATGAAAATGTGAGGCTTCAGCCGGAAAAAACAATTTTCACTCAAATCAATCATGTGTAAATTTTCCATGCTCCGGAATGAGTCACGTTCAATATCAAAAATGGCATTCTCACTTAAATAAAGCTCCTCAAGCATCATTAAACCCTTGAATGACTGTGATGTAATCTCCCGAAGGTTATTCACTCGCATTATTAAAATGCGAACGTTGTTGAAATGCTCAAATGTTTCATTTTCAATAACGGAAATTTTGTTGATTGACAGATCAAAAATCCTTACTGTTCTGGCTTTATCGAAGGATTTAAGCAATGTCTGGTTGATTGATTGTAAATTCCATCGTGTCATGTTCAGTTGTAACGAATTATCAAAAGAATGTAAATTTTCCCACTCATTCAAACTATTTTCATTATCTCGAATTCTCATTTCTACACAATTATTCATCTCTTTTTGTTGCCAACTATCATCTTCATTGCATGCAACCAGCACCACATAATTACAACAAATAGTTAAAATTTTCAGTAACTGAATAAACTTTATAAGGAATCTCATCTCAGATGCGACTGACAATCTTGAAAGGGAATAAAAAACTGGAAATTTTCCAAACATCAACTTGCATTTTATAGAATAGAACTGAATAAGAAAAATTGTTTTATTGCATTTCTCTTCATCTTGCTTACTTGTCAGTAAATTAATTTTAATTTTACACAAAAAAAACTTATGAATGGATGGAATAAATACTATTGCAGGCTTTCGAATGTTTTTTTTTTAATAAAAGGAAATGAATGAATGAAATATGATTGTGAATGCAAAATGGATTTAAAGTGTTTATTTAAGTGAGTGCAAACTTTTGACAATGTAATATTTTGAAAAATAAAAAATTGCATTTTTATGATTAATTTTTTACGCCACAGATTGGACATCAGGAGCAAAGTTCAAAATTTAAAAATTGAGAATAAAAATTTACAAATTATGACGGTGATTATTAAATTATTTGCAGACTCTCTCAAATGTGTCGCATTTTTAGATCCACTTACTTGAACAACACAACTCAGATATTGAATATTCTTTTTAAAAAATCGTCAAAATTCACAAATCAACTTTAAAGATTTTATTTTTATTTTTCAGAAATTCTCAATATTAAATAAGTAAAGACTATCACAATTCCTGTTGAACTTACAACCCAAAAAAATTCCAAATAAACAATCGAGATTTATCAAAATATTAATCTTCAGACACATAAAAATTATTTTTTAAACATATTTTCATCCTTAAATGTATTTTTAAATTTAAATTTTTGCACACATAAAATTTTATTTAAATCCCATGAAATGTTTATTATTTTTTAACAATATTCAGTTTAATTTTTTCTCGTTCATTAAAATCTCAGCTCCATAAAAAGCAAGACTTCCTTTACTCAATATTGAACTCGTAAAAGCAATAATGTAGGAACTGATGAAAATGTATAAAAAAAAAGAGAAAGAACAGCAAAATCATATTTTTGATTAAATATTTGCGCGTGCAATTGCACTGTGTACAATCAGTGAGATAAGAGTATACGTATGCTTTATTACTGTATCGTCATATTTTTGTATTTAATTTTCTCGTTTAATTTTAATTTCATTACATCGAATAAAAATGGTTTTTTTTTTGGCGATTTATATGCTATGGTAAAAGCAATTTGAGTATTATTGAATTTATTCAGTGGATAAAGGCAGACGAGCTGAAAAGAAAAGCTGTCCATTGATGATTTTCAGAGAGCTTAAATTTTATTTGTAATATCTGTATTACAGCCATGAACATTTGACATAGAAATAATAATAATAAAATTTTACAATCACAACTCAATTTGTTCAATCAAATTCTCTCCCTTCATATACTTTACTGTATCATATCTCCGATAATAGTATAGCAAAAAAGTTATTGGAATTATGATGAGAACAGCAAATATTGATGTTAAAACAATGAGAAAAGTTCGATTGAGTTTTAATTGTCTGAGAATTTCATGACTGTTCGATTGAAGTGTATTCATTACTTCCATTTCATTATTGATACTGCCAGAGATATTTATGCATTGATAAGCAAAATGTGTATCAACAGAAATGGCCAATCGAGAATAGCTATTGTGCAGGACATGATATTCTTCACAATCAATTTTATTCTCACTTATATTTAATGCTTTTAATGATGGAAAACGTTCCCTAAATTTGTATACACTTAAACTTGATAGATTATTATGCGAAAGTTGCAAAACTTCCATATTCAGCAAAATGGGAAAATCATTCATGTCATTAATTTGATTATGACTCAGATCTAAGCGTACAATATCATTTCTCATTTCACTTATTTTCACACATTTAGTTATGGCATTATATGCAACAGAGAGCTCTTCCACATTTGCCAACTTTTTTCTCTCATGAGACGACTCATGATTCAGATCTAATTCTGTGATATTATTATGTGACATATCTAAATGTTTGATACTTTTAATTTTAAATTTAGGTATCATTTCGAGATTGTTAAATGACAAATCTAATATATTTAATTCTGTCTTTATGTTAAAGAGATGTGATCCTATTTTTATAATCCTGTTACTGCTTAAAAAGACTTGTCTCAAGTCACTACACTTTTTAAATAAATCCGAATGTAAATGCGTAATACAATTACTCGAGATATCTATCGATACTAAATTGACGAGTCTGTCAAATGATCCGGACTCAATAGCACTGATAGCATTGAAGGACAAGTTAATCTCCTGTAATTCATGAAAATTACCACTGAAAATATGTTTCGTTATCTTTGTCAAATGATTCTCCATCAAATCAATCTTATCCAATTTTCCGTTCATCGTGAAGCTCCCATTCTCAATTTCCGTGATTTCATTACTTTGAAAATCAATACTTTGAATGCTTGAAATATTCTTCAGCATGTTTTTTGTAATACTCGAAATCCCCAAATGTCGCAAATCTATTCGAAAATTGATTTTACTTTGCTGTGCTATTTCATCAATAACAGCTTCCTCGAGAGGATTGCCACTCAGATTTTTGAAGCTTTTCGTTCGATTCACATCATTTGCGTTGTTTTGATGGTTTTTTTGCTTACACGTTGAACAATCGACGATGACACAGACGGAAATGAAGAAAATTGAAAGTAGAACAAAATTCACATAAAAGGATCTAAAAATAAAAAGAGAAATGGAATTTATAGGAAAAAAATAATCCAATTTTTATTACCGCATGACTGAAACAATTGAGCTAAACTGAACTTTCAAATGCAAATAAATTTATTATTTTTTAATCACTTTCATTATCAAGCATATTTACTTTGTAATAAGCAAAATAACATTGAATTCGCGCTTTTATAAATCTCTATGACTATATGAAAGACTAAAATGTCGTTGACATTATCAGCTGTACAAATGCTTTCCTATCACGTCATCAAATTTTCAATAATCTCTACAACTCAATGATGTCAATACATAATGAATTAATTTAATTTTTATAGCGGATTAATTACATTTTCAATAAAGCTTAAAATGTAATCCAAATTGATGTACATTCACTAATATTATCGTAATAAATCAATTTAAACATTTTATAATTAAATTCAATTTTCAATTAATTAATCAGATTTTTGTTGTAAAAAAGTATAAATTTCCTCTAGAAAAAAGATTATTATCCTCAACAATTCATTGATCTGCTTGCTAAATTAAATAGTAATTAATTAATTTGTGAGAAAATTTTAATATCCTTGTTAATTTACAAGAAGTTTAGGACTAGAAATTAATGGGAAATTTATTAACAAGATCTCAATTTAAATCAAAAATATGGCAAGTTGACAAAGTTTCAAAATTACCTTTATGACATCTGTAACATGCCGCCCTAATAAAGCTTCGCTACTCTCAAATTTTAGATTAATTAATTCTTAAAAATCATTCAAATTTGCATAAATTAAGAGATTGTTTATTTGAATGATTTGAAAATAACTCACCCAGAATCGAAATCAGCATACGCGTAGCAGATCACATACTCAAAATAGAGTCTTTTTGTCTGATGGCATGCTCAAAAATATGTTCTCTTACAAACTTTTAATATTTTCGATCATGAATTGACTTTTTGTTGTAAAATTATCATATTTAGTTCCATGATCCACGTTTTGTTAATAGAATTAAAACTTTCGGTATTTCGTTAAGAGAAAAGATATTTATTAGATTTTTGAGCTTCCAAAAATGAACAATAAGGTAAATGAGAATCACAAAAATATACTTTTGCTAAGCTAAACCAGGTTTGACTCGAAAACAATAAAGGTGTTTTTTTTTCTTCCAGCAGTTTCAAAACACCTCTTAAAGCGAATGGTAGAAGATTTTTAAAGCTCTTATACGTAAAATAATATGGAGATAAAGATATTTTTAACTCTTTTATTTCCGGCAGTAATTGTCGCACAAGCTCCGTGCTCAAGCTATTGGCAATATGTTAGAGGCCCAGGTAAAATTGAGGGACTTCTTACTATTACTCCAAATAATGGATACAGTGAACATAAACTTAAACTTACACTTTCTGTTGGAGCACGACTTCCAGGGGTAAGTCAAAATATACGCATATTTAAATATTAATGTGAGTATTTAATCAATCAATTATGAATTATTTTCTAAAGAGCTGTTAATTGAATCAATAACCGGTTATTACTGCTAGAAAATTCCTCAATCAAATTAATATCTTTGATATCAATGGTGTCATTCTCATATTTTATATTAGCCTTACTAGTTAACTTAAGATTCACACATAAGAACAACAACATTGCCTGAAGCCGGTTTTTAAAATTCTGGGATTCCCCATTTTTTGTTGTAAACAATAGGCGCAATCATTTTAAGCTTGTCGTTTAATAAAAGTTTTTAAATTAATTTCTAATTCTTTACTGTATTAAACTAACTGCCACAATGAAAAATATTCTCGAATACATCCTCAAAAATTACAAAACATTTAGCACTCACTAGCGTTCACTTAATGTAAAATTTAAGATTTTGATTAAATTATTAAGAACGCATTTTATCTCGATTATTCAGACTTATGTTGGAGATGTCAGTCTAGTTAAGGACAAACAAAGTGCACTGAATGATATTAGCCGTGGATATTCTATTCAATATCGTGTAAGATTTCCTATAACAAGTCCATTGCCAAAATTAGTATCAGTTGTCTACAACAACCAGCAAATATGTACAGGACCCAAAGGTAAGTTTCGAGATAATTTTCACGATGATCGGTGAATTTTCTAAACTTTTATTTTCAGGATATGGAACAACAATAAATTTAGAACACGGTCTCTCAAACCACGCTGCACCACAAACAGTTCAATATCCACAATCAAATCCTGTTCCACATATTGAAAGCAGATTCCAAGATGACCCTCAACCAAATGCACAGAACTATAATCAAAATTATCAGCAAACTTATCAAAATCAATACAGTCAAAAACCAAGTTTCGAGAATGTTTTAAATACCTTGGCAACAAACCCTCCAATAAGAACGACATTAGCACAACGAATAGTACCAACACGCGCTCCTGCTCAAGCTCCAATAAGAGCTGCACCTCCTCAACAGCAGTATAATAAGCAAACATACAGTAAACAAAATGAGTATATTGATTCCAACAATCAGTGCGGCATACCACTTCAAAATTTACCAGAATCAACTGGATTAGTAATCAATGGAAAACCAGCACTCAAAGGACAGTTCCCATGGCTAGCAGCTTATTTTCACAACGGAGTGAGAGAAAATGGTTTCATATGTGGTGGCTCATTGGTTTCATCTAAAGCAGTCCTTACGGCTGCCCATTGCATTCACAATAAGCATGATACTCCAAAGAAAGCTGAAGAAGCCTTATTTTATATTGGCAAGCATTTAATCAATACTTTTGCAAATGAAAAAGATTTTGTTGTAGCACCAGTTACATCATTTGTTATCCATCCTGAATGGAATGCTTATAGTGGTACATATGATGCAGACATTGCAATTGCTTTATTATCCAGAACAATTCAATTCACAAGTTTCATAAAACCTATTTGTTTGTGGACATATACAGACAATTATTACGATATTGTTAACAAATTTGGTGTAATTGCCGGCTTTGGAAAAACTGAATCTTCTGTTTCCACTAGCGATAAACCATACTGGACAGCCCTCCCTGTAGTTGATGAAGGAACATGTCTCAGATCACACAATGATTTCACTAGAATTACGTCTAAAAGAACATTTTGTGTTGGGAGTCGAGATGGAAGAGGTCCTTGTAATGGTGAGTTGAACGTTTATTGGGCTTTGTTTATTTGGTTTGAATGATGAGTTTGAGGATTGAGAATTTTATGACATGAATGTCAATAATTCAACAGTTTTGAAAGATAATTTGAGAGTTTTTTTAAGATTTACATAAAATCTTTCTAGGTGATTCTGGTGGCGGACTTATTGTTCGGCAAAATGGCAGATGGTATCTTCGTGGAATCGTGTCAGCATCTCTTTTTGATAGAGAGCTTTATTCATGTGATACCAACAATTTTGCTGTGTTTACAGATGTTGCTGCTTTCAAAGATTGGATTCAGTCATACATATAGGAATATATAGTCCACCTGAAATAGTTTTTATGAAGTTTTGTAACTTTACTAAGTTATCTAGTATACAATTTTAAGGGATTCTTAATTTTTTGAAAGAAGTGACCAAAAAATTGATATGTTTTAATTTAGTTCTAATTCTAGGATATAATTAAGTTCTAATCAGATGTCACCTAATAACCGAACAAACCTATTTAATGTTAAAAAATTTATCGCCTCAAAATTTTCTGGACTTTCCTGATTTTTTTGATAAAAATAAAAAACGGGATGCAGTATCATTTGAATATTCAATTAGCACACGTTTATCAAACTAGTTTTAAGTTATTTTAATTAGTTTATTTAACTTGGTATCTTTAATTTTAATCAATTATTCCAATGTAAGTAGGATTTAATTATTAATTTACGAGGAAAAATAAATAAAATCTATATTCTAATTAGAAATAAAAAAAAAAGTTTTTTTAAAAAAAAAATTGGCATATGAAAATAATTTTTTTATTCTAGGTGTAGAAACTGACTGTTTCTGAATGAAAACATACGAGCTAAACGCTCAATTTTCAATAAATGTTAAAGCTGGTTTCTTTTTCGAAATATTTAAATATTCATTTTTTGTTGTCAGTTCTAAATTACTTCTCCGTGTGTTTAGATGTGAAGACATAAACAAAAAAAAATATAATGAATAGAGTAATATTACTTAGAGTTTGTTTTTTGACATTAATATTTGCACAGAATCCATGTTCTAATTACTGGCAATATGTGAGAAGTCAAAATCAAATTCAAGGATTTCTATCATTCGCACATAATCAAAGAAGCACCGAACATCATCTGAGAGTCATTTTATCTCTTGGAGCAAAACTTCCTAGTGTATGTATTGATTTGAATTTTATCATTGAATTCTTTCTAATATTTAAGATGCTAATTTGGTTTTGTAGAGGTTTATAAATAAGTTCAAATACGTATGTAGTTTCATTTATGATTGAGATTAGCTTAACCAATCATGAAATTGATCAGAAAAAAAATTCGTTGTACTTTAGATAGTTCTTTAAACATACAGTAAACGTTTAAAGCAACAAAACATCACAAACGTTTTGTTAATGAATTCTAATAGTCATTGTGTCGCCAATTTTACAATCTACTAATAATTAAGAAGACTTAACTTTACACTCTGAAGACGCAAAACAGTTGATTATTGTTTTGTTTTACCGCAGGAGTTGTAACAACTTGTTACTATTAAGATACCTAAGATTTTCTTGCATAACAGTGGTGCTTTGCGTAGCATAGCTTGAGAACTACAAACATTGTTGATGTATTATATTTTTAATTACAAGATATTTTTTTTTCACTAATACAATAATAATAAAATGATTGTGTAAAGCTTTTAATTCGATAAAGGTCTTGAAGATGAAGGTTCCAAGCGATTCTCTCTACAAAATATTCCTTACTGCCACCTTAAAATGTTTCTCCTTTTTCATAGTCGTATGTCGGAGATGTAAGTCTCATTAAGGACAAAGCTGGAGCGTATCAAGACATAGTTAATCAACTTCCTTTACAATATCGAGTAAGATTTCCAGTGCAAGCCCCATTACCGAAATTAGAAGCAGTTTACTACAACGATCAAATGTTATGCATAGGAAAGAAAGGTGAACAAAGAATAAATTGAATAAGAATGAAGGCTGAATTGTCGAAAAGTTACACTCAAGGCGTGGAAACTATCCTAAATATCTCATTTATGCCAAATATCCCAAAAATATCCAAAATAATTCTTGAGCCTGCATGCATTAAAATTGAGATATCCCATCTTGGGATATTTGGGATAGTTTCCACGCCTTGGTTACACTTTAAAAATTAAATTGAATTGATTCAAATTTCAGAAGTTGCTGAATTTATAACTACAATAACGTTAGACCATAAAATTTACACAAAACCAACTCAGAGTACCACGGATAGCACACAAAAAACCCCAATCTATCAAAGCACATCAGAATTCACACAGATAACACGACCACCTGACGAATCTTCTCAAAAATATGTTACAAAAACTGATCCATCAGTGTTTACCAATGGGTTACCCAAAATTTTAGAATCAAGTATTCAATGCGGTGTTCCTAAAATAAAGCTAGAAGACCACTCCGGGTTAATAATTAACGGTAAACCTGTAAAAAAGGGACAGTTTCCATGGATGGTTTCATACTTCCATAATGGAGGCGAGGAAAATGCATTTATTTGTGGAGGAACTTTGATTTCATCAAGATCAGTTATCACAGCTGCACACTGTATACACGAGAAAGGAAATTTGCCAAGAGAGGCGGATGAGGCCTTATTCTACATTGGAAAAAATATGATAAAATTTTATGGAGAGGAAAAAGACTTTGTGATTGCTCCAGCATCTAAATTTATTGTTCATCCAAATTGGGATGCAAATAAGAATTCTGTATCATATGATGGAGACATTGCAATTGTTATTTTATCGAGAAGGATCCCAACTACCGACTCTATTCAACCAATTTGTTTATGGACTGCTACTGATAATTATGATGATATTATTAATCATAGTGGCGTGATTGCAGGTTTTGGAAAAACTGAATTTTCAAACACTTCTAGTGACATACCTTATTGGGTACCTGTTACAGCTATTGATGAAGGAACATGTCTTAGATCTCATGAAGGTTTTACAAGAATTACATCAAAAAGAACATTTTGTATTGGTGGTCGTGATAGGAGAGGTCCATGCAATGGTAAGAGATCAAACATAAGTTTTCGTTTTTTATCTTCAACCTAATTGATCAATGAATGATTTTTTAATTGATTAGGCGATTCTGGAGGTGGATTTGTTGTAAAATATAATGATAAATGGTACCTTCGAGGAATTATTTCAGCATCATTTTATGATGTAGTATTACGAACTTGTGACACTAATAACTACTCAGTATGCACAGATGTGGTTCCTTATAATTCATGGATTGCACAAAATATGATTTAATCCTAATGCATTGTAATTAAAACATTCAACTTGTTATCTGGTAAAAAAACATTTATAAAATATAAAATTTCCAAATAAATATTGATCATTATTATGTCTATTCAAATCTCATTTAACTTTCAAGTTTTCGGTGTATGCTGCTCATCATATCCTTTATCTGAATGATCTATCAGTTACGATCTGAGCATTATATTAAGTGCAAAGTATTTTTTTTTTTCGCAAAAGACGAATAAATATTAATCAATTTTTGAGATAAAGTTTGCGGAAGCTCTTCATTTTTTAATTCAACTTCGCCTCCGCATAATAAAGAAACGCCCCTGACTACAGCAATGTAATTTAAAAATATTTTTTTCTTCGTTTAATCTCCATCTAAGGCGTTGACGCAGTTTTGATAACTTGTATCAGAAAGACTTTATTTCAATTCTCAGAATTGAAAGATTTTGCATAGTCTGATATGGAAACATTTAATTGTATTTTATATTTCCCTTCAATGCTGATTGATCAGTTCAGGTTAAGCAGTTAAGTGCCTTGCTGGTCGAATAGGTAAGGCGCTTGGCTCAAATTTGGGATGGTAACTCGAAGGTCGTCGGTTCGAATCCAGCCATTTCCAAATTTGTTCTTTTTCGGAAGTTTAGATACTTCGACTGCTTAATGTACGAGATCAAGCTATAATTGGGCATTTGGGCAACGTTGGATTAAGGAACGGGCCAGGAACTTAGAGTGTAGCGGGAGAAACAGGAACGAGAGCTACAAGATTACCCACGAATGGAATATTGTTAGAACGGACCTGAAAAGTATCACGTCACGCCTACAGAAGATCGAAACGAGAGCCTTAGTTTATTTGAAACCTAGATTTGAAGATTAGAAGTTTGATCCTACATAATATTATTGCATTTATTGACGACATACTGTCCGGAAATAATTCACATTTTACACTTTTGTATTTGTATACATATATATTAGGGCTCGTTCACTTATTACGTAACGCAAAAAAACGAGTTTTTAGACCCCCCCTCCCCCCCTGTAACAAAGCGTAACAAAATCTTAGACCCCCCCCCCCCCAATAACGTAACAATAATTTTTTTCATTTAAATTGTTTATCAAATGTTTATTATACTTCCTTTAAGTATGTAAAAGTAAATAGAAGGAAAGCAATAAAAAAATATATTAATCGTTTACATCCATATTATTAACTAAACGCAAAAAAAACTCATAAGTTTTGTAATCATTAGTCGTTTTCCCAAATTGGTTGAAAATGTTCTTAAGTTAAAATTTAACGTTAAAAAAATTTAAAATTAATATAGAAAAAATTATAAAAAAATATAATTTTTGAAAAGTTACGTAACAAAATTTAGACCCCCCCCCCCTCCCCCTGTAACAAACCGTAACAAAATCTTAGACCCCCCTCCCCCCCTAGTGCGTTACGTAATAAGTGAACGAACCCTTAGTATTATGTAGGATCAAACTTCTAATCTTCATATCTAGGTTTCAAATAAACTAAGGCTCTCGTTTCGATCTTCTGTAGGCGTTACGTGATACTTTTCAGGTCCGTTCTAACAATATTCCATTCGTGGGTAATCTTGTAGCTCTCGTTCCTATTTCTCCCGCTACACTCTAAGTTCCTGGCCCGTTCCTTAATCCAACGTTGCCCAAATGCCCAATTATGGCTATTAATTCATATGTATACAAATACAAAAGTGTAAAATGTGAATTATTACCGGACAGTATGTCGTCAATAAATGCAATAAAGTGCAATTAAAATGAAAAAAGGTCAAATTAAAAGCTTAGATCTAAAGCTTATATTAAGATCAGAATCGATTGAATAAGGTCAATTTTATTAATGATCTGATAACTTTAGAATTGCTTTGACAAATTTTGAATTAAATAATGTATTATCATAGTTTCGAGGACTAAAATACAAAATCTATTGATACCTAATCAAAAAATTTACAAACCAATTATTTGACCTCAAAAAACTATAAATGTACAGATTTGCATACCCCATAACAAGTTATCTCAGTTTAAAATACCTGCAACGGGTCTTTTGATTTTCTAGTATTCAAATTTTTGAATCTATTTTTGCAAAAAAAAAAAAGACATGAACAAGTTTTATGTCCAAAAATCCAAAATTTCAAGTTTTTTTGCAGAAAAATTTTACTAGGCATTGCAGCTCTAGTAACAAATAGAAAATAAAGCTGAAAAATAAAAGGAATTTTAGTATTGATTCTAAGCCTTGATATCTTCATTTAAATCTCTTTAGAATACATTTCCGATTGCCAGTTGAAGATAATCTTTCAAACTATATGGAGTTGAAAATTTTGTACTTTACCATCCTTCAAAAATAATAATGAGAGCGATTTTACTAATTACACTTCTACTTCCAACTGTAATTCTTGCACAAACTTCATGCAACAGTTACTGGACATATGGAAGGGATCGAAACAATCAAGTTGAAGGCTTTTTAACTATTCCACATACGATTGGATACACCGAGCATCATATTCAGATACAAGTTTCTATGGGTGCAAAGCTTCCAAGTGTAAGTATAAATAATTTCAGTAGAAATTGTTAAATGGGAAAAATTAAATTTTTATTAATGGATTTTTCTCTGAAAATTTGTAGATTTTTTCCACAAAACTCTATTAAGAAACTGATTTTTTTATTATTGCTTAAGTCAAAAAACCGGCTCCTGCATACCAAACGAATATTTATATGCAAAGTATCCGGAGTGTGTTTGTCAATGGTTTAAAATGCATAAGAACAAACCTTTTACCCCTCAAATATTTTTATTAAAATCCAGTTTTAATATTATCCAAGATTTTTATGGATGTTAAAACTTTATTTTCTATAATCAAGTTCATAAAAATGTACCAAAAATTTTGCTTTGAATTTGGCTTCAAATCAATTAGATTTTGGCATTCGATTAGCCCACACAAGTTCAAAAATTATTTCTTTTAACCTGAATAGAAACAAAGAAAAATTACTTTTGCGTCTTTAAGTTTCAATCAAAATTTTATATTTAAACTCTCATAAAATCTTAAACTAATAAGTCTTCCATTTCTTAATAAACGAATGATCCCATCAGTGAACTATTTTTAAGGAAAAAATAAAGTTAATATTTATAATGATAGGCATATGTTGGAGACATCAGTTTGGTAAAAGATAAAGAAAGCGCATACAAGGATTTGTTGAATGGCTATGCGGTGCAATATCGTATCAGATTCCCAATTCAAAACCCAGTCCCAAAACTAATATCAGTTTACTACAACAACAGAATATTTTGTTCGAATGCTAAAGGTATGTTAAGTAACTCAGCAATTATTACCAAAAAAAATGTTTTTAAACCTCGTTCTAGATGCGCATTCTAATTTTTTAACTATTACATTGGACCACAATCTGAGCGTGACACCATTACAACAATCGTATCAGAAGAACAACAAACAGAATACACAAAATTATCAAAACTATCAACAAACTCAAAACATTCAGAAAAATCCTCAACAATATCAATCGTCAAGTAGAGTAAATCCATTTGAAAAAACTAAATATGACAAATTTGCAGAATATAATTCACAATGTGGTCTGCCATTCCAAAAACTTCCTGAAACGACTGGCTTAGTTATCAATGGAAAACCAGCAAAGAAAGGGCAATTCCCATGGTTAGCCGCTTATTATCACAATGGTGTACGAGAAAGTGGATTTATTTGTGGCGGTTCATTGGTTTCGTCTAAAGCAGTCATCACGGCTGCTCATTGTATTCACTACAAACATGATGCTCCAAAAGCTGTTGAAGAAGCATTGTTTTACATTGGAAAATTCTTTATTAGCTCACTCCAAAATGAGAAGGATTTTGTCGTCTCACCAGCTCAAAGATTCATATTACATCCAGATTGGAGTCCTTATACTGATTCTTTTGACGCAGATATTGCAATTGTCGTCCTTACAAGAACAATACACTTTACAAACTTTGTTAAACCTATTTGTATATGGACATCTACAAGTAATTACAAAGATTTGATTGGTTATTATGGAATAATTGCTGGATATGGAAAAACAAGTCGAATTGATACACCAAGTGACAGACCATATTGGACAGCACTTCCCGTTGTAGATGAAGCAACATGTCTGAGGTCCAACAATGATTTCAGAAAAATTACATCAAGTAGAACATTCTGTGTAGGAAGCCGTGATGGAAGGTAAGATAATAAAATAAAATTAAACTTTTAATAAATTCTACAAAAATATTTTTCTTTGAGACTTTACAGAGGTCCTTGCAATGGTAAGTTCAATTGAAATTTTACTTATGACAAATTTTTTACAACCTGTGATTATTTCAGGTGATTCTGGAGGTGGATTCGTTGTGAGATATAATAACAAGTGGTACTTGCGTGGAATAATTTCATCTTCATTACAAGATAAAGATTTATTCACATGTGACACCAAGAACTTTGCAGTATTCACTGATATTGCTGCATACAGAGATTGGATCATACAATATTTGTAAGACGTAAGAACTAACACAAATGAATGAAGTTCTTTTGCATCTTGCTGTGAAATAATCGACAAGATTTTGTTTAACGCAAACATATTGTTAAGTTCTATTGGTGTAATGATATATTAAGAGCTATTCAATATTAACATACTAAAATGTCTTTAAATTGTGTTTTTACAAATTTATTAATTTAAAAGAAGTTAGAGAAAGGTTTGAGTTTTTAAATAATATTTAACAATTAAAAAACTCAATAAAGTGAAATAACCCAATTTTAAATAAAAACGTAATTTAAATTTAATGCAATAAGTGTGATTGATGGGAAAGAAGAGACTTATGAAAGGCTGAAAACTCAAGGCAGTTGATACTAAACATCTTTTGCATAAGAATTTATTATGTTCAAAACGAAATTTTCAAATGCAAAAGAAGAACTAGTTTGTTGATATTCTATGCCTTTGAATGCAAACAAAACAAGAAATCAAAATAAAGCGTGCCGCAAGCAAATGAGCAACAAAAAAACTTAATGTAAATATGGAATCAGTCATTTATTCTCTTTTACAATCAGTATTGACACAATCTACTACAACCGTATTAAATGTTTAATTTATTCAATGAGATTGTCTCTTAATAGTATTTCATTCAATTTTTTATTTCTCTTTCTTCTGTTTACGTTGATGAATCTCGTTGTCCAAAGAGTGTAGAGATTAAAAAAAAGACTTCTGAGCACGAGAAATATAAGTTTAAAAAAACATGAAGCGAACAGAATATACAACTTTTTAATAACATTACTATTTTATTTAAAAATGTAAATCTCTCACGCTCAGTAGAGAATTTTTCAGCTAGCCGTTCAGTAGTAATTGGAGACTCAAAAGTGTCGTTGGGAGGTGCAATTAATAAGAAATTTTTATTATCACACAATGAAGTTTTCGTTTAAAATTGCGATTATTTATTCGACTTTTTATTTCGCATTTGCTCAATATGGAAATTACGAATTTGAAGTGTATGAACAAGATCCAATTTCTGGAGCTTTAAGACCAGTAATGAACAATAAGATACAAACAACAACAAAAAGATATTCTAATGCTGATTTTGAAGTATATGAATATGATCCACATAGTGGTGCTTTAAAACCTGTATCAACTCCAAATCGCCCAACTGTAAACAGACAACCTCAATCAACAACAAGGAGCTATCAAAACAACGTATTTTTAAATCCAAATACGAATCAAAATGTTGACAATAATGCAAATCTACCAACAATGTCTTTATCAATGGGATCGTGTGATAATTATTGGGCGTTGAAAAGAGATTTTAATGGAATTTTTGGTCAACTGACTATTCCTAGTCCAAATACTCAAAAGGCAGTGATTCGAGTTACTCTTACAATTGCTACAGTATTGCAAACGGTAAGTGATTGACCTAATAATTTACAATATTCTTTTGATTGTAGATGTATAGGAATTGCTTCAATACATAATCAAATGTTCTAGGAATTTCAAAGATGACAAGTTCTTTTTTTCACTCTTAAAATTTAATGTCGTTTAAATTATTTTTTGAGTGAAGACTCTCTTGAACTTTATTCTCACTCCAAAAATTTTAAGGTCAATAATGAACATGATTTATTTTATACAAAACGCAAAAATATATTCTTTACCCAAAAAATCTCAAAATAACTTGAAGGAATAGATAAGTAATGTGAAAGAGAATTCAAGTACTAGTGACCAATTGAATCATCATTTAAGCTAACTTGTTTTACGATACAAGAATCCGTGTACACGTGGAAATCCCCGAGGCAAATTGCACTTAAAATAATATTTAACTTACTTACTTCTAAATATATCTAAAATGATTGTTTCCATAATCATTGATAAAAGAGACATTGATTCAAAATTATAAATTTATTGAGAGTGTCAGAGAGATGTTGTCAAGATGAAATTTATGAATCACTTGAGGCATGAGAGTAAAATCTCAATTAGTTCTCATTAAATGTTTACCTATTAATATTTTCTTCTCAATCATCTTCTTTGTTATTGTTTTTATTTATCTCAGGTAGAAATTGTAGCATAAAATATTTTCAGTCTGAAATATGACGTGATAAAAGCTACTCGATTTTTTCAGTTGACATTTTTTTTTTGTTTAAAAGTTTAAGTTTTGTTAAAACATGGCTGCGATATTTTGTCTGTTTAGCGTAACATTATGCAAATTAGCCTCACAAGACGTGCCAGAGTCAATGAGTTTAAGTAATACTCATCATAATAGTCCACAACAACCAACTCCGCAATTAATAAATGTTCCTAGCCAATATATTTCACCTTGTCCAAATTATTTTCGTTACACTTACAATGGGAAAGAATGGTTTGGTCTATTGGCAGTTCCTCCTTTGCCGTTAGGACGAACTTTTCATATGAAAGTGTTTCTTAGTGTTGGAATAAGTTATAATAGTGTAAGGAATCTATAAGACCAAAGCCTAATAAGGAGTTGAAAAATGATACCAATTTTAATTTTTTATTTCACAGCGATACGTTGGTGACATAAGCCTAGCAAAGGACAGACAGAGCACTGTAAATGATGTTGCCAATGGTTTACCGATTTTATATCGAGTGAGATTCCCTGTACAAAATCCTATACCAAAATTGACTGAGATTTACTACAACAATCAATTACTTTGCAGAGGACCAAAAGGTAAATTATTGGAACTAGCAAAGGAAACTTTTTTTAATAAACTTTCAAATTTGTTCCAAATTTTGCAGCTGTAGGAGAAATTGTAACAACAATTGCCCTCGACCACACACTTTATACAGGCTTGGCGCAGCAAAATTTCCAAAATAATCCAAATTTGTTTACAACACCACCTACACAGTCAGCAGTCATTCCAACAGAACCTGCAACCACGCAAGCACCTTTACCTATAACCCGAGCAACTCGTCCACCAGTTACAAGACCAACAACCACAGATGAACCTTACATATTTCCTGATGTCAACACAAGTAAAAAACCACAAGCTAGTTCCAGCGGCGAAAGAATTGGCGAATTTGATTCTCATTGTGGAGTTCCACAAATAAGATTACAGAATTCGACTGGTTTGATTCTTAGTGGAAAAGTTGCAATGAAGGGTCAATTCCCTTGGTTAGCTGCATACTATCACAATGATATTGGTAATACTGGATTTATTTGCGGTGGATCATTAGTTTCATCAAAAGTAGTCTTAACTGCCGCTCATTGTATTCACGATAAGCAAGATCAAGTTGTTAAGCAACCTGAACAAGCTCTCATCTACCTCGGAAAATATTTCTTACATTCTCAATCAAATGAAAGAGATTTCTTAGTGTCTGGTGTCACTAAATTTATTATTCATCCTGATTGGAGTTCTGTAACAGAATCTTTTGACAGTGACATTGCAGCAGTTGTTCTATTAAGAACAATTCAATTCACAAATTTTATTCAACCAATTTGTATATGGTCATCAACACATAGTTACTCAGACATGATAAATCAACAAGGTATTGTTGCAGGATATGGAAAGACTGAATTCACAATAACTGCTAGTGATAAACCCTATTGGACTGAACTTCCAGTAGTTGATGAAAGAAGTTGTCTAGAATCAAATTCAGTTTTTATTAAAATTACATCACGAAGGACATTCTGTGCAGGAAATCGAGACGGAAGGTATGTTTTTTGTTAAAATGGAAGATTCATGAACTATAAATAATTCTTTTTTCACAGAGGTCCATGCAACGGAGATTCAGGAGGTGGATTCATTATGAAATCAAACAATAAATGGTATTTACGAGGAATTGTTTCCGCTGCATTATTTGATAAAGAAATGTATATGTGTGACACAAAGAACTATGCTGTTTTCACAGACGTTGCCATTTTTAAAGATTGGATACTGACACAAATGGAAGTCTATGGTTAAGTAATTTTCTAGTAATTAACTTCTTGTAAAAATTATTTTTAAAATTTTGTAATAAATTGTATTTATTATTCTTAGTTTAATCTTTTGTTGTGTATTATTAAATGTTTTGTTCTAGGATACGCGAAAAAAATTTCAGGATGTCCTTGAAACAACTAAAATTAATAAGTCAATATTCTCAAATTTGCTTAGACAATAATTATTTACCATATTGTTCGTGTGCCGGTATAAATATTAACATGAAGATTTTGATCCATATATCATTAGTTATTGATATTGACATAAATAATTAGCACCTCTAGAGTTTTTTTGTGTGAACACCTCAGTATCAGTTTGTGAATCAATCGATTGAGACCCTACAAAATATTTTCCGTGTGCTAAAATGATAATTTTGGAAGTTATTTTTATAATTTTGATAAATTTTAGCATCGCAAAGTGCCAACAAAGTTGCTCGGATATTGCAAACTTCTATTCTGATTACTATGGAACTTATGGACAAGTCCAAATCTCACATGTGCCTTTACAACAAAATTCAAATTTTGGAATTGAATTATCTGTAGCTGCAAGATTGCCAAGTGTAAATGCTAACATTATTAAAACCTACATTTTAAGTAATTATTGTCTAATTATAGAGCAACGACTGGAAAATCATCTTAGTAAATAAAAACGTATATGATGATTTGTTGAATGACCGGAACATTGTTTTAAAATTTATTCCTTTAATTACAACCCCACTTCCTGTTATTTCTGGAGTCTTTGTGAATGGGAACCGAATATGTTCAAGCCCTCCTGGTAAATTTGTCAAATTTTAAACTTAAACGAATAGCATAATTTGCGACATGAACAGATATATTTATTATTCCCCAAGGACTAATTTAATATGATTTCTAAGTTCCTCAGAATTTTAGATTTATTAATATTTTTAAAATCAATTACTTGCATGCCAGAAATATTACTAAAATTTTGAGTAAAGTCGAGACAAAAATTAATTTATGAAAACAAAAGTGTCAATTTTAAAACAAACAAAAATTAACAGTATTTGATCTCTATATGACTCAACATCCAGAAATTCATTAATGATTACTCCATTCTTGACATTTTTAGCACGTGGAAGGTATGTATCTACAATCAAAATGTCGTATACATACACAATCAATAATATTCCACAAAATATTCAAATGATTGCACGACCTATTCTAAATCAATCTTGGTATCATCAGAATCGAGACACAACAGAAAAAATCATTTATACAGAGCCACCAACCAGACCAACTCAACCTCCAACTACTTCAACTTTACCGCCTGCACCACAACGACAAACAACGCATATCAATATAGACTATAAAATAGGAAATACAAACGACGATCAATCATATGTTTGTGGAGTCAGAAGAACTCAATTAAGTGCTGTTTCGTTTGTTATTGGTGGTGAAAGAGGAAAGTATTTTATTATGTCTAATAATTAAACAATGCAGAGTTGATACCTATGATAAATCTGTAATCAAGCAAAATCTTTCATAGATAAGCAACAGAATTCGAGTTATTAGTGCTGCCAAAAAATATAAAAGATTTAATAATTTATCATAAAAATATCTTTAGCTAAGAAAAGTGATTTTCCATGGCTCACAGCTTTCTACTACAGGCAAAATGGATTTATTTGTGGAGGTACATTGGT